CCCACTCCCCCTGCTTGTGTTCCCTCTCTCGCTGTGTCTCTCTCTGTCAAATAAATAAATAAAATTAAAAAAAAAAAAAAGTATTTTAAGCTCTATATAAGCTATCTTTACCAAAAGGAACCAGGGCTAATGGAGAAATAGCTGATTTCAGGTTTAAACAGGAAATATACCAGATAAGCCTAGAGATGCTATCATACCAGAAGGTAAGGGAGCTATTAAAGATTAGTGGGGTTGAATCAAAAAAACATAGGAGCCCACCTGATGACACTCTTTTGTTTAAATATGGTATAATTTGAGTTTCAAAAGGAATAATTGTTATAATTGATTAAAATACATTAAATATATTAAAGCTTATGCATTCATAAAAATTTCATAGGTCTCCTTTGGATCATGTTAGGGAGGCAGTGCATTATTCTGAAAACTGGTAAATAAAGGGAAACAGTTGAGCATCCATATGTCTTTGCCAAAAGAATTCTATCGTGGTTTAGCAGGATACTGGATGGAGAAAAGTGTTTCATAGAAGAATCCCAGCTAATGTAGAAGGAATGACAGAATTTGAAAACCACTATTTTGCAATCCTAGTGAGATAACCCCCTCGGACATTAATTACTATCTACACCATTTGAAAAAAACTGATGGAGAACTGTATTTTTATTTATTTATTTATTTTTTAAAGGTTTGTGTGTGTGTGTGTGTTTAAGTAATCTCTACACCCAGCATGGGGCTCGAGCTCATGACCCTGAGATCAAGAGTCTCACACTCTTCTGACTGAGCCAGCCAGACACCCCTTGATAGAGAACTTTATAATTAATAGGGTGATTACATGCAAACTCACTAATGAATCTTTTTTTTCTTTTAAATTTTATTTATTTTTTAAAGTAAACTCTACTCCCAATATGGGGCTTGAACTCACAAACCTGAGATCAAGATCTGCATGCTCTACCAACTGAGCCAGCGAGGTCCCCTACTGATTAATCTTAACATGAGAGATAGAACCAGACATATGTGCTTTTAGCAGCACCTACAAAATATTCTTGCCAAACACTTAAAAAAGTATGAGGAAAGCTATCCTATTATTAAGAGAGCTAAGACCAGGGGCACCTGGGTGGCTCAGTTGGTTGGGCGACTGCCTTCGGCTCAGGTCATGATCCTGGAGTCCCGGGATCGAGTCCCGCATCGGGCTCCCTGGTTGGCGGGGAGTCTGCTTCTCCCTCTGACCCTCCTCCCTCTCATACTCTCTGTCTCTCATTGTCTCTCTCGCAAGTGGATAAATAAAATCTTAAAAAAAAAAAAATAAAAAAAAAAAAAAAGAGAGCTAAGACCAGAGGGTCTTAAGACCTAGTTTGCGTGGGATAGTCCTTGTTTACATCTGTTGTTTGGAGGTAATCGTTTTTAAGAATGGCCCTTTTCACTCTGAAAAGTATCCCAGTTTGGGTGATAAATTATATAGTCATCTACTTAAGACAAATCAACCAAATCTAATGATAAATTCAAATTGTGAAAAACATTTGAGATAATTGGGGAAGTTTGCATGCTGACTAGACATTTGCTATAAAGAAATCAATGTAAGTTTTTCAGATGTGAGAGTGGTCTTAAAAAGCTCTTAACTCTTAGAAGTGTATACTGAAATAAATGGATGAAATGATACAGGATTTGCTTTAAAATAATTCTATGGGAGGAGGAATAAGTGGTTAATCTTGTTTGATCTATACCCCATGTGTTGATAAATGTTGAGACTGGGTAAATACAAGGGGGTTAATTATACTATTCTCTCTACTTTTGCATGTGTTTTTAAAACTTTTTACTATGGAAAATTTCAAGATAAGGGGAAATAATATATTGAATAAAACACTGACAGCTTTGATTTTAATAACGAAAGCTCATTTGCATCACTTACAGGTTATAAACCAAGGCTGTAAGGCTGCAAGTTCAGAGATAACTGAAAAATTAAATGGACATAAAGCAGCTAATGAGAACCAGCATAACACTTTTTTTGGTCAGATAACTACTGACGAAGAAAAGTTAATGGCACAAAGTCTAGAACTTAACGAAACCATAAAAATGGGTTTGACTAAGCTTAATTGCTTTCTACAACAGGACCTGAAACTGGATATCCCAACAGGTACTTTATTTATTTATTTATTTATTTTTTAAGATTTTATTTATTTATTTGACAGAGAGAGATATAGCGAGAGCAGGAACACAAGCAGGGGGAGTGGGAGAGGGAGAAGCAGGCCTCCCGCCGAGCAAGGAGCCTGATGTGGGGCTCGATCCCAGGACCCTGGGATCATGACCTGAGCCAAAGGCAGACGCTTAACGACTGAGCCACCCAGGCGCCCCTCAACAGGTACTTTAAAGGGAAAGAGAATTGTTAAAATTTTTGAGGTTGAAGTCAACCTTGTACTGTGCCAGATGTTCAGAAAAACCAGGTCCTGCCATTGCCCGGTAAGAATTTTCCATCTCACTGTAGTCACCTCAAATGGAAAGAGTGGAACCCTAAAATACCTTTAATCAAGATTAGATGTCATGATATGGGTGTCATGTACTTGTCATAAAATTCGGGCATTACAATCAATAAAATTTTACAAATATTTAGGGAGCTGGCTTGGTTAAGAGAAGATTTTTATTTATTTTTATTTTTAAGATTTTATTTATTTATTTTAGAGTGTGTGTGCAAGCAGGGTGGGAGCAGAGGGGGAGGGAGAGGGACAAGCAGACTCCAGGCTGAGCAGAGCCCAAGGGGGGGCTTGAGATCATGACCTGAGCTAAAATTCAAGAGTCAGAAGCTTAACCAACTGAGCCACCCAGGCAGGCACCCCTTTATTTTTA